GAGGGGGGGGGGGGGGGGGGGGGGGGGGGGGGGGGGTGGTACTCACGTTCACTTCCTTCCCATCCAGGTTCATAGAGCTCACGCCCCGTTGCAGCTGTGTTGTTGTTCGGGCGAAAAGGGGAGCGACGTCCAGTAAGAAGGATACCGCGTCACGTGTGCGTGGCCCGCAAGCCATGACCATGTCGGCCGAAAAAAGCATGCGCGGAACGAGACACGGGAAGCAAAAGAGAGAGGGGATCAGAGTAGGGAGGAAAGATGCACGTACGTAAATACACAAAAAAAAAGTTTAGATGGAAGTAGGTGAGGCATACCGACTTACTGCTGACATAAACTGCTGCGCATAGAGGCCCAGACAGCCGAAAATAACTGGGCAAAAATCGTCACGCCTTCATCTGGTTTTAATCAAACTACAGTTGCAGCTGCAGAAGTACTGGTATAGCAGCAGCCGCCATCGTAGCTGAAGATTAAAGCGCACGGCAGGGTTTGCCTTGGTCGGCCGTGGTGTGTTGTTCGCACGGAAGCACGGCGAGAGCTTCTGCCAGCTCAGATCGAACTTCGGGTATATCAAACTATTAAATATATGTGGAACAGGAAGATGGAAGTACTTCCGAAGAAGACCCCGTGAAATCACACGGGGTGAACCGTAGGCGGTGCATACATGCACGCCGCGCCCTCAACAGTGCGCGCGAGTCCGATACATTATACCTTTCTTACCCAACAAGCAGCTGCCATTTCCCCTTGCCACCTACCCGGCGCGCGCCCGAAAACCAACAAACTTGCCCTCAATTATTTTTGCTTAAACAGCAGTACTATGCAAGTGTATCTATATCTAGATATCTAGTGTAGTTCAGCGACCGAGCGTCCCTCGTGTAGTTGAGCGACCCGAGCGTCCTTCAATAGTGCTGGCCTTCATTAGTGCTGGGACCCGATGTGAGTTAAGGTCAAATTGCTTGCGATGGGTTTGCCACTTGCTCTAATCGGTGCAATTGCTACGTACACAACCGGCAGAGTGACGTTGCATATCATCGTGCGGCGGGGCGCTGAACATGCTACTGCGGTGACGAGAGGAGCAAGGTTGGCGCTGCATATAAGTAGAGCGCCGCTATGTTTTACCATTATCTTGTTTTACATGGTGTAAAGAGAAACATCCAACATTTGAATCCAACAGCCACGAGGTCTCTCCGATCGCCGAATACTCTGCGATTTCTTGGCGAGACAAGGTCGTTGCTGTCGCATTCAATGTCAAGGTCGGACTGCTGCCTCCTAGGCCGACGTATTATCAACGTGCCGCACTAACTGCTGCAGCAATGGCGGCTATGCACGATCGACCGGCGGTGGCGGCAGCATTTTACACAAGCCCGCTGTGCTGCTCTTTCCAAGAGCCCACACACACACACACACACACACACACACAGGTTGCATGGATGGCGGAGCAGCAGCAGCCTGCCAACGCTCACAACAACGAAAGCACAACGGCAGGTGCCGTGTGCCAGCGCTGCTGTAGCAGGAGAAGGACCGGCACTGCACCAGCCACTGGGCAACACGACGTAGCTACGCTATCCAATCTCGCCAGCGAGAGGACACAAAAAAAGGTATGCATACCGGTGTGCGCGTCGGGATAAAAGCGAGTCGGCGGCGTCTCACCTCCCCGAGAAAAATCTTTTGGAACCCAATTTGGGCGTCACCCCCCCTGTTGTTTGCCGCCATCACTGCGTGCGCGCCCCTCTCTGGAATGCGTTTTAGACCTCTCCTTCTGTTTTGTCCAGCGCTGTGGCTGGATTTCTCCTCTGCACCGCACTGGGGATTGGGCCGCAGAACAGACGCCGAAAGTGCGATGATGCCCCCTGCGCCAAGAGGAGTGGGGGGGGGACTCGAAATAACACACATGTGCGAACCCCCCTGAAATATCTTTCGTGCGCCGTGGTTGCTTTCAGAACACACCAAGCAAGAGAGAGACAAGAGGGGCGTGCAACGATGGATCCACGGCCAGCGTTTGCCAAACCTGGATCAAAGAGTCCTTGGAACTGGGTGTGTAGAATCGTGGTGGCTGTCTTGCTTGTAGCCAGTGCGGGTGTTGGACTGGTGATATCCTTGGTCCCCTTGCTGGATCATGGATCCACATTGAGAGCCAGCGCGCAGCATGAGGGAGCTTTAGCTACATCAAGCAGCGGCGGGTTTCGCGATTCGCACCGCACGCTAGAGAAAAGGAAGCTGCAAGTCTTGGGGGTCAACGCGGACGAGTCGGCGGTAAGGCGACGTCTATTGCCCGTTCCGTCATTACAGTAAATCAATCATACACAGGGCGAGGAGGAAGTTTCTACGCAGACCATGACCGGTAATTTTGCCGCACAGCAGTTTGGTCGTTTGGTCCCCCATCTACGAAATAATATTGTCGTGTTGATCAAATGATCGGGGAATTATCCCCAAGAGGTGCGGTAGTCTGTCTTCTTTGATATGTAGGCTTTGTAGACAATAACAATGACAGATGGAGAGAGGGGAGAGGGGGCAGACACGTATCATGATCTCGGATGCATGTACATAATAGGAGGATTGATCCCGTCCATGTTAATTCCACCCCGCGCAAAGTATCCGTATTGCACATACTGCGTGCCTTGCTTTATGTCTATGCTGATTACCATCTCCCGCAAAACGTACTATGTAGGTGTGCTTTGGTTGATTCAGAACGATGGTTGTTGTACTTGCAGCGAGAAGGGACAGACGCAAGTTGGATACGGCATGAGATCCATCCCTGTGTGAGGCGGAAGTCGAGCATCGCCAACAGTATGGTACAAAACGCAGGTTCTCGTGCAACAGTCGGCGCTAGCACTCTACACTATATCCTGTACAACCTCAGCCTAGTGTGCTTGTTCGGGATACACTTTCTTGCGAGATGACTACTGTAACTCCGGATGCATGTACAGGAGTGTGTATGGGGGACTCGGGTTGAAAGTCGTCCCGCGGGGCATTGACCCTGAGAAAGATGGTCTAGGCCATAGACTATGTACGCATGGCAGACTTTGTCAGAGCGCAGTTTGAGAAGGCTGGGTTTGTGTGGGTTTTCCCATCTCCAGTTCGCACCTGTCGCTGTATGTTTGATGCCCTGCGGTTGTAGCCAGGGTTAAACAAGAGGAAGGTGAACACGCTTGACTTCATTTTTGTCTCTCCTCCACCGTTAGCCCGGCGGTGCTTGAGTTTGATTCTTAACGTGAGAAGGATTCCGCAGCTCCTTCCCTCTATTTTTATGCGCCCGTCTTCTTCGAGTATGAGTTTCCACCTCTAGAATGCTGTATGTACATTATGCGTAGTTCTCCACTCCAGAGAAAAAAAAACGCTTTGAGAAAGTCAGTTCCGAGGATGCCAACGACAGTACACCAATGCGGCGATGGGGTAATCGCAGATGAAACAGGCCGTGCTCTTTCCAAAAAAACGCGCTTGTTCGCGAAAACCAAAGTGTACCTGACGAGGGTGACAGAGTCGCAGCACCATCTTACGTCAGCGTAAAGACAGTCATCGTTTGAGGAGCACTACTGTTGAGACCTGCTACAACTTTCCAAGACAGAGAAAAGAAAAACCGACCGGGCTTTTATGGGGACGAAACGAACTCCTGCACGTGGTGCCATGGTTGCGACCGCAAAAATTTCGAACGATTTTGGTGCTTTGGCAGGGTGGAGGCCTGTTGAAGCAGTACACGAGCTTCGCCAAGTACGCGTTGGAAAGCTCGAACTCCTCTGACCCTCTCCCCCTCCCTCTGGTGGCTCCAATCGGGGAGAGATCCTTGCTGTCCATCCCACTCATCACCATCATTGGAGTGCAGGTGCGTTGACGTTTGTTGCTTGATGGTGCTTGGAATTGTTTCCACTCTTGGTTTTGTCTGTTGCTTGCACATTGAACCCCTTCGTGATCTCAAACGGCCCCTTACAATCCCCTGCAGATTTAGCCCCCGTTAGAGCCTGCTTCGGTGGTCACACTATGAACCGAACGAAGTAGAACCTGGCAACAAACGTGGTCAGGAAAGGTGGCCCTTTATCCTTGTAGATGTTGCGTAAATTACATGTCCCTCGGAGGTGCCCCTCTCACACATCTTCCTTCGCGGCAATCATCTCCGTCAGTAGGTCTCTAATCGCCGCCCCCCCCTCCCCCCCCCCAAGGCGTTGTTCTCACCCCCCCGGTAGACCCTCACGGCGTTTTTTTTCGTTCCACGCGAAGTATGGTGTCCATCACCGTCACAGGCACGACTCCAAGGCCTATCTCCACCTCGCCGTGCCACGATAGCAAATGATACGTCGATGCGTTCGCTGTGGAACCTTCTTGCACTTCATGGCTAACTCATGTAGGATGGGGTATTCCACAACAACACCTTGTTTTCACGCGGCAACCCACCGCGGTACGTTGCTGTCCCATCCGCGCCGGTGCCGAAGGTTCTTTTTTCGTTGGTCTTCGGGCACGGTGTAGTTGACGGCGTCACGGTGCACTAACGAGCGCGACTCTTTGCGGCTTGTTGCCTCCCGCTCGCTGTCGTTGCGCGTTGATGCTTGTTGCCCCTTATGTGGCCGGAGCAGAAGGGAGGCACCACGAACTTGCGGAGGAACCTCTTGACGCACCCGTTGGTGACGGGCATGCCGAACGAGGTGCACTTCTTCGACCAAGACCCCGACATGTGAGACTAAAGATCGTGGCGTACCGTCAAGTGTGCCTTCATGTGCCAGCCCAATCCACCGACAGTCCTCAGTGAGGTACCGGCGCTATTCACGACGGCACGAAAATGCTTGACGACTCACGTCGGTGTCGTGAGGCGGCACTCTATATCGAGCACTATGTACGCAGAAAGTAGGGGGATAAAACTTGGCAGTAAGAGAGATAGATTGTAGTCCCGGCTCTGCTCCTTGTGCGTGTCGGGGGGATGGATTGATCGATAGACTCAAGACTTGCGAAAACGAATCTTTTAGGCGACCGTGATGCTTCTATCAAATGTGTACTGGCGTGCTTGGTACTTGCGCTTTGAGGAAGATAGAGTTTTTTTTTTCCATGCCACTGTACCCTGTTGCCTTGATTCCCCTTCGTTGACCTGCATCTATCATGTTGAATTTGTCGATTCCCACATTGGGTATTTGTTACAACCCGTTCTTGGTGAAACAACAACAACAGCAAAAACAGCACCAAAAACCCTAAAACAATATCATTATCGGTCTGCCCCGAGTGATACCTACCTTTGCACCGCTGCTAGCCTCAGAGTTTACTTTCCAGAAACAGCTACAGCTAGCCATTCGTTTTGAAGGGTCTCAAGAACCGCCGTGACCTAATAGGCCGCTCTTCTGAACACTGTCGGAGTTCTTGCGCTGTTCCACTCAAAACTCAAACAATCTGAGGTTTCCCTCCCCTGCTTTGCCTCACTTATCGCTGCGCGAAGCTACCCGAAGCTTGGTCACTGGCAGGGAGACGGGCGAGAGAAAGAGCTAAGCCCTGGAGCGATTGGTCGGATCCTTTCCGAGTACGCCAAGACTTGCCTAGAAGAGGTAAGTACGCAAACCCTCGCTTCCGGGCACAAAGAGAAACAAGCGTGCCTGGGAGAGGTGTGTGGCAGCCATTGGAAGATGTCCTGGTCATATCTCGTTATGAGGCACATCACAAATGTGCTGAACGTCTAATCTTGCTTTTGCCTGCCTCATGCCTCCCGGCTTTCTTCGGCCGCCCTCGTTTCCCGCGTGAACCACCCCACCGTGCCTGTTGCTGGTCACTTGCTCGTCGGTCGCACCGCAGGGAAAGCCGAAAAAGAAACCGGCGTGGCACAAGAACGTGGCCGCCATGAGCAGCGGGGTCATCGTTGAGTCCAGTCCCCGGTACATACTGTCCCCGATCGCGCCCTACCGGATGAGGATGGTTCTTCCTCGTGCCAAGCTGGTCGTCGTTCTGAGGGATCCCACAGACAGGTGTGTGTGCGAGCATTATGATATATATGTCGTCAACCGATGTTGTTCGTGTTTGAAACGGCAGCAGCAACTACAATAGTAGAAAACGATTTCGATTTGAGGGGGGAAAGAAAGCCGGGCATATGTAGCCGTCAACGTAGTGAATGTCTTCAAGCACACACGCTTACGGTGCCTTTCGTCGAACTCGGTGACGTCATAGCCCGTGGCCTCTCACGAGGAAGAAGAGGTACGTAAGTACGAAAGGGTGCTTCGCGTTTGGCTTGTAAGTACCAATTCGGGAGACAAACATCCGATTTGAACGAGCGACAACAGGAAGCTCGATAATGTTTCGTCGACAGCTCAGCATGGATCAGCAGGGAAAGCCTACGTGGAACGCCTACATCCTGTATTTATGGCAGAGATCTCAACACCATGGTACCGGTGAAGAATCTTGGGGATTTGAGATGGTATTCAGGGTGCTTTTATGAGAGAGATTGGGGTGCAGGGACTTTGAAGATCTCGCAGCAAACGTACGCTGAAGAGTTGGGGATGGAGTTTGGGGTAGAGTACGGGAAGGAGATTCCTCTTCCTGTAGGGTTGAAGCTTTCAGAGTTTGACCAGGATGAAGAAGTGGTATCAAGGCCTTTTCGTGAGCTGATAGGATCATTGATGTGGCTGGCAACGCAAACGAGGCCAGATATCGCGAACGCAGTGAGAGCGGTAGCACGGTACTGTGCTGCTCCCAACGAAATTCATTGGAGAGCAGGTCTTGGTATTTGGGGGTATGTGGTAAGGACTAGTGACTTGGGTATTACATTCAGGAGGAGTAGTGTAGCAGGGTTGAGCATGGAGGTGTTCGCAGACCCAGACTATGCACGTAAGGCTGCCGATAGGAGGTCTGTGTCAGGAGGATTGGTGATGTGTGGGGGGGGATGTATTTCTTGGTTTTCAAGGACGCAGAAGTGCGTTACGTTGAGCACGACAGAGGCGGAGTATGTCCCTCTTGCAGACGTGATGAAGGAAGTGTCGTTTCTGAGGCAAGTATGGCGTTTCATGTTGCCAGAAGCAGGCATGCCGTGTATTCCGGTGTTCGAGGATAACCAGGGGGTCATTCAGTTGGCGCAGAACCCGATTAGCAACATTAACTCGAAGCACATCGACGTAGGGCACCACTTTATCAGGGATTTGGTACGCAGGAAGGAGATTTCGATTTTTCACGTGGAATCGGCGTATCAACATGCTGACTTCCTCACGAAGGCACTTCACGTGGGAAATTTTGAGTTTCATCGTAACTTCGTAATGAGTGTGGATTAATATCTTGGTGTTTGGGTTTATTTTGTGTGTGATCAAACAACTAGGGTGGCAACATTTTACACTTTTGCCTATGGTTTTTCTCAATGGATGGTGTTCTAGAATGGGGGGCAATTAGTTCGCTGAAGTTCGAAGAAGTATAACTAGTATGATCGGGGATGGGTATTGATGTCTAGCCAAGAAGGCTATTATTGTTCTGGAGTTGAGTTGAGTTTCTGATTTTATTTTCTTGTGTTTTGGAGTTATTGAGGATCGAAAAAGACATGGCATGGTCACAAGCAGGGGGGCTGATAGATATACTTATACTTTGTAGCAATGCCAAGTGGTTGATACGGAATGTTCCCATTGACTGATGTTGCGCGGAATACCGTAGGATTGTGTGGTACGTGGAATATATCTCTAGGGTGTGCATAGTACCCCTGTTGTATACTGCGTCGCCCCCTCATTGATGGTGCGTGCGCGTGTGCGTGCAGTTCATGTGTTCATGCGAAGAAGTCTATACAAAAAAAAAAAAAATCTCAGTGAACAGCTGGATGGCAACGAGCCGAGAGTATATCTTTTGTTAGAAAGGCTTACCCATTAGACTACTTAGTCAGCGCTGACTGAGTATTCTAATGGGTAAGCCTTTCTAACAGTGAAGAGGCGGGGTTTATTCGCATCCACCAAGATATATTTCGTTCGCCAGCAGAATGCCGAATGGACGCACTTTTTTCAGTCACTGCGGCGAGGACAACAATGAATGAATCCAACCGGAAATCTCTTGAAGGGATACCGAACACGCCTAGGAGCCTAATCTGCTTTTGTGGTCTGTTTACATGTAGTTTGGATACGCTCGCAGTTTTTTATCGAATGAATACCTTTTCGTGCTCAGTCGCCCGATTTTTCGTATCTATCCGCGGTTTCATTCGTTTCATCCTGTGTTTTCCGCTCTCTCTCGTGCATTGCTTCCCAAGATATTTTTCTCAACTGCGGATGGTCATGTGCAAGACGGAGCCCGACCCAGGCTACATGTCGCTGGAGGAACAGATCAGCACGCACTTCCACCCCCCGGGGCAGGCGAAAGGGTACATCAAGCGAGTGAGTACACCGCGAAAACAGTGCACGGAGGGCGGATTCTACGTTCATTCGTGGTACGCCATAATCGTTATTTTTCGTAGAACTTGCGCGATGAAGCAAACTCAAAGTTCTAAATAAAGTACAACCATGTCCTCTAGCTTTCTTTGGCTCTGTCTTCCTCTCTCTTGGTCTCTCTTCATGGACTTGACTGATAGCTTTCTCTGGTTCACTCTAAATCGTTCGATATACTATCGCTGCTGCACACACCAACACGGACACCGATGACGAAATTCACTCACGAATCCCGGTAGTCGGTCGGAACGTTTGGCAAGGCAGAGGTTTCCATCCAGAAAACATTATCTTATGCCAACGGCAGGGCGGCGGCATCGACAGCAAGCCCTCGCTGCGCGGCCGGTCCACCCCCAAATGTTTTTTTATAAGGATGTACTCATCGTCTCTTTCTAGAGTCCACTGTGAGTTGTAGAGGACAACGCTTACGGTGTGCCTTCGCTTGCCTGGTTTCGTCAGGCGGAGGCGGCGTACAACCCGTATGGGGAGCGCTGCCGCGGAGAGAACGCTACCTCCGCGGACCTTTGGAACTGTTTCAAGGCCATGGCAACTCACAATCCTCTCCACAGGGGACTGTACGCGGACCAGCTAGAACGGTGGTTCCGGGTTTACGACAAATCACAGGTGTGCACACAGTAGGCAGCACCTTGCTCCACCCACCAGCATGCATTGTCCGTGCATTTAGTGCCCGTGCTTACTGACGTGGGGAAATTACATGTGCGTCGACAAGCTTGGAGAAGTATAGTCAGAGGATCTGTCCGCTGCACTTCTTATTTTTTTGGCCATGCGTGAGAACAAAAACTGTACATACTCTGACACCAAGGTGTAAGCACCCACAAAACACCTCGTGCCCACTCTTTGCATGTGTGTGTGGCACGATTCATTTTTTGCGACTGCTACAAAGATCTTGGTGATCGATTCGGCCGAGATGTTTGTGAACTTCACCGAAACGGTGGCAGTAGTGGCGGAGTGGGCGGGTCTGCCGGAGCATGAGTTCGAGTACGACAAGCACGAATTCAAAGGAGCCTGCCGGGACAAGATTCGATATCACAATCAACCCGATTTCTTCGCGGACGGTGGACGGTACGTCGGAAAAAAAAAACGTGCATGTTTGTTGTCTGTGGATTGAGTGAGGTGGAAAATTCACCTTGCTTGCAGAAGGTTCAAGATCTTGGCCTTCCCGCGCGAATGCTTGATACTCCATACTCCTTCATACATTCGCCGAGATCGAAGTTTGGGCCGGGGGGATGACGCACACCATCCCTGTGAAAGAAACCACATATACATACTATATGTATGTAGTTGTTGCTGCTTTCGTCATCGACAATCGCTGGGGTGTCAAGGGTCTACTGCAGAAAAATTCAACACACACAGGCCTACAAATAATCGAAATCAGGGTGGGGGGGGGGGGGTGTAGTCATAGTCGTGCATGCCGTAGTCGTTAGACCATTGACCTCGCATCCCTACAAAGCCGGGACGGAGCACGCCGGGTTCTCACCGGACCAGGCTCTCAACATCACCAAGCGCGAAGCGCCGTGAGGTATTCGGCGAGTCGCATGAAGGGTGCGCTGCATCCTGCTAAGGGTGTTCGGCGTCTTGTGCTTAATATAATATAATACTTCCTTGCGTACGGATGACAGCTGCGTATGACTTAATTTGTTTTCTGGTGCTTTCACTTCCAGAGACAGTTGAAAGCACTGTGTAACTGCCTCGAGGATGAGTGACCATTTTAACACAACGTGGTGCGATCATCCCCCTTGCGCGGAGTGAGGGTTCTCGACCCCGCACAAAATGATCTACTCGACCACCATTATATTTACCGCAAAAAAAAAACATAGGTAAAAAAAAAACGGTAACCTGGTTGCCGAGTTCACGAAGTGACTTGGCTTGTTATATAACGTCGTTGCCAAACGACGAAAACCCAACCCCGATGGCAAACACCGGGGGGGGGGCTTGTTTTCCATCGTCGTTGCCAAGCGACGAAAACCCAACCCCAATGGCAAACACCGGGGGCGGCGGCTTGTTTTACAACGACGTTGGGGGGGGGAGTGATTTTGGGCGGCGGGGGGCTCTAATTTCTAATAATTGCGGGGCACAGTGGACATAAATCCATCTGCAGTAGGGGGGGCAATGATTTACGTTCGTGAACGAAGCCCCCCATACTAGTTCCTACAATAAACGAAATCGAAATTGCCCTCCCGGGGGAGGGGGGGGGTACTCATAGTGGTGCATGCCGTAGTCGTCAGACCATTGACCTCGCCTCCCTACAAAGCCGGGACGGAGGGGGTGGCCTAGACTATGTGCTGTCCGAAATAATGTTGTTTCCCGTAGACCCTTGGGGGTTGGGGATGTCTCAATTTTGTTCGGTGCGCGACCGACGGAAATGATCCCCTGCCATGCTGGTTGCGGTATTCACAAAGTAAGTGATGGTGGGAATGAGAGACACAGTCCCCATCGACCTCCGATAACTTGGAGGTGAAGGGTAATAAACAATGCAAACTGCAGCCAACCATGTAGTCTATATGCACAACGAGTCTCCTTTAAATGAATGCCCGTCTCCATGAGCGAATTTCATTTCTCCCAAACAAGTTATTGTGGTCTACATTATCATCAGTTGTCTTCGGAAGATCCCGACCCTAGGCACGTTCCTGCCGAATGAACGCTTGCTTCCGGTTGATATTTCATGCAATATGGTCGGTTGTCTTTGCACAGGTACGAGACGATGCTGGAGGAGGAAGACTTGTTTAGGGAATGGTATCGCCCACACACCGAGCGCCTCGAGAAACTTCTCGGTCGTAAGATGATGTGGTAATTGCTGCTCAAGCTGTAGCCATCGATTTATAGACGGACGTTTTTGTCATGAATACCCACCACCACATGGATGGCATGGATGGGAGGCAAGCGGGGTCCGTTGTTCGGTTGGTTTTCGTGGCACAGCTTGTCCAGAGGCCTCAGAACACCACCACAGGTTTGGGACTCCAAACCATACCACTTTGCTCCAGGCTGCCGTTAGCTGCGCAACTCCAACAACGAAGCCCCAACCAACAGTTTTCACTTTTTTTTTCGCAACTCAAACCCAGCCAGTTTTCTTCCCACTCATTGTAAAGACTTCAATACAACCTTTCGAACTGTGGTATTATCTCGAACGGGTAGTCTTTATGTGAGCTTATGTATACTTTCTCAAACACCCGTCGGCTTCGTCTTTCTTGTTAAATAGTTGACTTCCATGTATTGTATTGTCGATTGATCATGGTCTATTCTAGGAGCGTTTTTTGGGATGTGGGGCTGGTAGTTGTGTATGTACAGGAGTGTGACGAAGATGTGTGTGTATGTTCAGAGCTCTACAGCAGTACCAACAACGTACTTCATTGGGGTAGGTGGGGGTTCGTGCTTTCCACCAAACAAAGGGGTTTCCTCGTGCACTGTTAAAGCGTTGATTTTTCGGAGGTCGACGGTGACTGGTCATCATGTGGTCATTTCAGCTAGAATCACTCGTCACATGCACAGATGGTAAAAAGTGTTCTCGCGGTGTACACCAACAATACAGTTGGTTGCGTCAGTTGGCCCAAGGGAACTGACTCTGCGCTGGAAGGCGTCGGCGAATCGAGGCATCGGCTATGATCACTTCGTTCGTCGTTTTGGGATTTTGTTTTGTGTAATGGTCTTTAAACGTTGTTGTTGCCGTTCACGCCACTAGCTAAGCGTTTCTGTTTGTTTCCGGTGCTTGGGAGTTCTCGTTTGGTGGTGTGGTTGATATTACAGTCTGTCGTTGTTGGGGGTTTGTTCTTGTTCTCTTGCAGTGTCACTGTCTTCGTTCTTCTTGTTGGGCTTATAGATGCTGTGGGTACTGTGAAAAAGGCAGTCAGTCCCGTCACGATCTTTGTGAGAGGAAATCGCTGATGCACTTTTCGGAGACAATTCCTATGGTGTGCGGATGGGTTGCGGGTACTGTCTATATACTACACCAGCAGATGAATGGGGGGGTGGGGCGTTTTCGGGGTATTCTTTGTCGGGTTTAGTCTGTCTCTCGTTGCTTCTACAACCGTTTTTTCCGCCACCGGCGATGTCAGTCTAACGCACCTGTACTTGTGTACTGTACAAGCTTGACGCGTCGGTTCTCGTTGTGGAGAGCGTTCGGCCGTAACGCTTTAATGTTGGGTTTCAAAGTTCGGAGCGTGGATACGCTGGTGCGCACCATTTTGGTTGCGCTTTTTCGATTTCGGGGTTGGCAGGGAGAGAACGTGTGTGTGTGTGTGTGCGGTCTGTAGTGACTGGATGTACTTCCAGATCCGAAAACACGCGCCGACGGTATAGGAAACCCTATGGGTGCCGCTGGCTGATACATCCAGCTGCACCGACGCATGTCGCACCCTGCGTTATGAACAGGGTGGGACAAGAACGGAAGACCTACGCCGCGCATCCGATGACACCGAACCTTAGATACATGCGAAGACGTTTGTACATAGACGAATCTAACCGACAACAAGGGCAAGACGTGACAATGCGAAACAAACTGGGAATGGCGAGGACCGACATGTCAGCGCACCCCTGTACATTCGATCGCACCCGACCCTAGTACTCGCCTTTTTTTTTCTACAGTTCGAAGGCGGGAGTGATACTACGGTAGGTCTGCTCGTTTTCCTCATAGGCGAGAGCGAGGACTGCTCTTGTGGCACTCAAACTAACCAACCCGCTTACCGTTAGGAATTAGATAAGCTACACCGAGCAAAGTCACGCCAAGCCTAGGCCCAGAAAATACAAGGCTTCATCGACAGTGAGTGCGGACATGTGCATTCCCTACAACGGGTACAAACTACTTAGCACGGAATACATAGCAGGGTGTACCCCCTCTACGAGTCGGAAATTCAATGGCGACGACACATATCCACGAAAAAATGCAATTCCTATCTATACAGCACGGCACCATAAAACCCAGGACAACAACCGGCTACCAGCGGAACCTACTCTACAAAGACAACATGCGGATATCTAACCACCCAAAAATGGGGCCATCAGGGTGGCAAGCGAGGCACACTACAACGACTAGCTTGTAGTCCCGCCCCCCAGCAGCAGCAGGGAAAACGTCTCGCGGAAGATTACAACACCGTCTCCCGAAAGAGATACCGCTCTCGGTCCATGGAGGAATGAATGCAACGGGAGATAGGTCGTCTGCAGATAGATGGTCAATCTGTCAGCAAACAAGACTTAGCACTACCAGTCTTCTCTCGGCGGAGGCACCCACGACGTCACTTTCGTGCGGTGGTTGACGTAGTACGTCCGCCCGTCCGCGTGCGTCCGGACCTCGATGTACCCCGGCAGGCCACCCTCGCCAACCCCCGCCGCCGCCGCCGCTCCGCCGGCAAAGACCGGGGCCGGAGGCGGTTGCAGCGGCACAAACCCACCCAAGCCCGCCGCCGCCGCGGTGGGCGGGACAAACGGTGCGGTTGGCGACGCCGCTCGGTGAGTAGCAGCACTACCACCAGGGTACGGTACCTTCTGCTCACCAGCCGCCCCCTCAGGCGGGGCCCACTGCGTGATCCTGAGGTCGTGGTTGACGAAGTACTCGCGCCCCGCAGGGGTGGTCCTCTTCTCCCAGCCCCGCGGGAGGCCCGCGGCCCTGCCCCCGCCCCTGGACGTGCTCGAAAGGCTCTCGTCCAAGCCGTCACCGGCACCGGCGCCTGCGCTTCTGGCGGCAGCGGCGTCGCTGGACGTACGGCTGTCGCGACGGCGGCGTGACTTGGGAGGGGACCACCTGGCGGCGTTCGTCTTGGGGTTGACGAAGAACCGTAGGCCGGCAGCGGTGTACTGCTCCAGGAACTGGCAAGCGGGGGGGGGGGGGGGGGGAAGAGGGCGAAAGGGGGGTTGTGAGAACATGCACCCGGGATGGATAAGTACGCTTGAGCGGTACAGTGAGCGCGGGGCGAGTGGAACAGCTTAAAACAACACACTCTGCAACGAAAACTATACGTAAACAAACGAACGCCACGTTGTACCACATCTCGCCCGCGGATAACGGCGAGGTCATTACGAGCCAAAACTGACACTCGTTTAATTTCGGCTTCGAAAAAAAGCTATTTATTCGTGGGGGTCCGAACGACCCGACGCTTTCACTCCGAGAAGGGTGACTCCCCTTCCCAGCTCCCAATCTGTATGTCTCACTCGTCACCCCACAGGACACATACCGTGGAGCCTCCTTCTGTTTGATCAATCGGATTTGCTCCCCCCGCCGCGGCCGCCGAGCCTTGCTGCACCCCCGGTCTCCCCGAGGGGATCGGGTGCTCCCACGTCGTGACTTGGTGGTTGTGATCCACGTAGTAGGGTCGGCCATCCGGGGAGTACCTGTTCACAAAAAAAAAAGGGGGGAACCCCAAAAAAAAAAAAGAGGAACCCAAATGAGCACCCTTCGGGCGACAGCAGCAGCAGGGGGCGAGGCACCGCCGTGGAAAGGTGCGTGTGCTTTTCCGAATATTGGTTGTGTGGGAACCCCGTGCCGCTGAAGGGGGGACAGCTCTCTGATATCCTTCCCTTTGGCAAGGTGCGGTCGGTGCCTCCCATGGATTATCGGAGAATCTGAGGCTCGACCGTGGAATGAATGAATCGTCACGATTGAGGCACACTCATAATCCACGCCTCGATGTACGACGCTTCGGGGGATTCCGAAACGCACAGGTAGGTGAGTTTTCACAGTGACAAGGGCAAGCGTTGAAGCACGTGACTCAGAGCGACTTCGACGGCACAATACTCAAGTGGCCATGAAATCGTGGTGGGCGCCTGGGTGGTTCAAGTACTTGACACAAGCACACACCAGCGAGTCGGGCAAGAAAAGCAGTCGAAAATGCTGCACCAATACGGATTGCAAGGCAACACCATCAGTCCAACTCCTTTCGCGTACGCGCAGCCGCACTCTCGGGATGCTTCTGAAGACAGGATGCACAACGAAACACGGCGGCAAGTGTCCACACTTTCACACGGCGGTCTGAGCGGCAACAACAAAATTGAGACCTTCGTCGAAAGGCATGCGTGGCGATACAAAAAGGTTGCGACCCCGCGAGCAGAATGGCGATGAAAGTGCCACACATTCACACGGCCGTCCAAGCAGCAACAACAACCAAAAAGAGGCTCTCGTCGCCCCTTGGCCATGTCCGCATGCGTGTTGCGATGCCAAAATGTTGTTGCGGTCCGTGATTCCGGTTACACTCGTGCCTCCGATATGAGAGGGTGGTGTGACAAAGGCCTTTGACCCTCTTTCATATCGGGGCCCCTTTCATAAGTTACCCAACTATACTATACTGTAGCGGGTCGAGTCCGTCACGACAGATTTCGACCCTCTGCCTCCTCCTACAAGGTACACTCTGATATCGGAGCCACGACTGTACTATTTTACACCGTTTAGTGGCTTGACTCGCTTGACCTCCTGCGGCGAGATACGCCAAACGGTTGTTGCGGTTCGTGATGCCGGTTACTGAAATTTATGCCGTCTCTTAGTGGCTCGACTCGCTTGACCTGCGGCGAGATATGCCAAAAGGTTGTTGCGGTTCGTGATGCCGGTTACACTGAAATTTACGCCGTCTCTTAGTGGCTCGACTCACTTGACCTCCCAGCCCGGCGGTAGGTCCCTGACGGCGCCATGTATGTCCGGAATGGCTCCCCCATTGGTGGGCATGCCTTGGAAGCCCCGGGAAGATGTCGGCACGGCGGTGGTTGGTCGTTCCCACTGCCAAATCGTTCCAGGGGTACCGACAGAGGGGAAGGGAGGGGGGGGGGGGGGGGGTGATGTTGTTGCTCTTTTTCTCCTCTTCCGAAATGGTTCAGTAGTGGAGGTGGTTGGTCGTTCACACCACCAATCGTTCCAGGGGGGCCGACAGAGGGGAAGGGAGAAGGGGGGGGAAGGTTCTCTGCTTGTTGTTCTTTCCTCCCTCCTTGGGATTCCCTCACTTGTGGAGTCATGTAACTCGTTGTCTTCCAAGGTTCGAAGGACTAAAACAACAGGGCATCAGCAGTGCATCTTCCCAAAGCGACACGCTGTTCCATTCGATAGAGTAGCACGGTGGACAATACAGCTCACGGCCGCGTGGGACCGGTGAAGGGCTTGCGCAGCAACAACGGTCAGGTGTGGACAACCAACGAGATAATAAAGGAAACGCCGAAGTTGTGCCCAGTTATATTGCAGCAAACAATCAGCATCCACGCTCCTGTATTTACACGCAAATGAGCCCACTTAAAAGTATGCACGCGCGGCAAAGAAAAAAAAACGCAGCCAACCGTGGCAAAGAGCTAGTTATTCCGCCCCAACAGTAAATGTGCGGCGAAACACGCTACACCGGACATATATCTCAAGCTTCCCCTGTCTACCGGAGCGGGTCTGGTGTGATGGCCCCCGGAGCAGAGAGGAAGAGGTTATTTCGGAAGGACAGAACCCACCGCACATTACATGTACAATAGAGTGTGGTACAGCAACAAGACAGGAAGACAGGCCGCTTGCAGTACAGTACAGTGCGGTGCAGTGCAGTGCAGTTCGGTGAAGTGCAGTACCTGCGTTGTCCTTGTGTGGTGGCACACGTAGTACGGCCGCCCGTTGGCCGTGGCGCGCTCCTCCCACCCGGACGGCAGCGGATTCTGTGTATATACACGTACAGGCACGCGTTCCGATCCAGCCTCCGACGTGTGAATGCGTGACGTTTCGTGGTGACGTTTCGTGGTGACGTTTCATCATCGTGATGACGTTTGATCGTGACGTTTCGTGTTGACGTTTCGTCGTGGTGACGATTCATCGTGACGTTTCATCGTGACGTTTCGTCGTGACGTTTCATCGGGACGTTTCGTCGTGTCGTTTCGTCGTAACGTTTTCGTAGTGACGTTTTGTCGTGGTGACGTCTCATGGTGACGTTTCATCATGGTGATGTTTCGTCGTGTCGTTTCGTCGTGACGTTTTCGTCGAAACGTTTCGTCGTGATGTTTCGTTGTCATGTGTGTATTGTCGAGACGATGAAGCAAGGGACACGGCCGAAAAATAACAGTGGTGGTCTGATGCGTTAAGCGACAGAAAGTACGACGATGTGAGTGGTCGGAATCTGATCCGCGCTGCCCAACCTTCCGCAGCGGCATAAATATATATGCCCCGCATACAAGGGCAATACATACCGTACGTGGGGTGCGCGAGGCGCCGAGACCGACTCGGCTGCCTCCACAAACAACAGGGTGCGAGAAATCGAGCAACACGCGTGAGGAAAAGCTCCCTCTCGACGAGACTCTTTCTTGGTTGTGGATGGAGAAAAATCGAGCCTTTGAAACGAAAAAAATCGGGTCTACTACAACACTCGGCACTTACATTACAATACGGGCCCGCAGTTAAGCAAATAGGAGTGTATTTTGTTACGAAACAGAGGCCCATACTTTCACGAAAAATAACAAGAATGGGTAAGGAACACACCTACCTCAGCCGTGGGTTCTACCACTAAAATATACCATACCATATAACAATCTGTGGTCGACGGTGGCGACGAAGGAAAAAAACTGAGCCTCGACCCGATCTTGACGAGTTTCTTATCCCCCGGCCCGTACCGTACTACTTGAAGGACGCCGGCGGACAACGTTGCCGTTGTTTCTGTATTCTGGCCTCGCAATGCTTTACCTGCGCCGCCTCCGTCACCCGCGAGTCGTTGCGGCGAGAGCGCTGAGGCGCCCGCGACTCCTCCACGGGGCCGGCGGGTAGAATGAACGCGCCGCCGGCCTGGATGGTGGGAGAGGGGAGCAAAGCACGATAGGAATAGAGGGAGGGCGAACGCAGAGCACCACCACGACTGGCGCATCAGAGCACGAAAAGGACGATGATGATGATCATCATCATCTTCGCTAGCAAGAACCGTATCCAACGGTTCTCTTCCCGCTTGCCTCCATATATGGGGAACAACAACAACCTTCCCCCTCCTCTGTTTTCCTTAACCCCACGCCGGACCGTTTTGGTTGGTTTGGGTTCAAGCTTCGCTTGGCCCTACGAAGTAGGCTCGTCCACAAACCTCGCCCACAACAGCCTCGTTTGGCCATCAATGACCGATCAGTGGAAGCTTTTTTTGTTGTTTGACAAAGCATGCACGTCTCGCAAACTTGCACACCTCCACCAAGAAGCAGAGAAATTCGCGGCGCGGAACCCCGCTCTACCAGGTATTTCCCAGGAGCGTGACAATTGAGGTCCTTCCCGCGGGTGTGACCATCAGCGACACCCAGGCACGATTCCAGAGGGACGACTATCTTATCCATACATCGCGCAAAGAAACGGTCAGCGTTGCAGCAGCAACAATGGAAAGCTGACTAATAAAAAAAAAGGGAAACCGAAGAGAACCAAGGGACGGGCCACACGAGGTCAGCCCTCAGCAGACAGATGCATCTCTTACCGACGACCCTTGTCTTGCCAGGCCGAAGCGTCCGTCGATGTCGCCGGCCCCCGCCGGTGTCTGGTCGACGCTTGTGGCCTGGACGGTCCGGGATCCGGAACAAGAACAACATACACGAGAGAAGAACGTCACAAGGGAACAGGCACAAGTGAACCGACACAAGCTGCGGCGAATCGCAATCTTACAACCGTACGAACGTATATCCTTTGTGATAGTTGAGCCCGACAACAGAGACGCACAGCAGCGCATACAGGGAATCAAGAGAGTCAGTGCGCGTCAGCTCATTCGAAACCGCTCGCGGACTATTCACACGAGTGCCAACAAACCGAGCCATGGCACATTGCACCGGGTAGCGTAGGGGTGTGCGTTCGCGTCTCAGTCAAGTAATAATTTCGATTTTTCCCTTGCCAATGCTAGAAGCGGCACGACCCGTAAATACAAAAAAGCCACACTGGAGTTCACTTTCTCTCCTACTTTTGTTTGTGGTGCTTAGCGCATACGTGTATGTAGTTATGGCGAGGAGGATTCAGAGATGTGTCCTCTTTGTCGAACATAAAATTCGGCTTTGAGCACCCACCAACTGACCGTTTTCCCGTTGTTTGGCAAGTTTCGAGCCTCTCGCTCTGGTACAAAACACCTAACGCATGATCACATAAAAATGCCGATTCGTCCATGTTCTCTCATGTAGCGCAATGATAGCAACTGGAACCATGACAGAAATCACGGATAAGACGAGGTTAAGCCAAGGATAAGCCGAGGACAAGCCGAGGTTAAGCCAAGGATAAGCCGAGGACAAGTCGAGGTTAAGCCAAGGATAAGCCGAGGTTGCTGAGGATAAGCCGAGGTTGCCGAGGATAAGCCGAAGTTAAGCTGAGGTTAAGTCTAGGATAACCCGAGGTTGCTGAGGATAAGCCGAGGATAAGCCAAGGTTAAGCCGAGGTTGCCGAGGATGAGCCAAGGACACGCCGAGGTCAAGCCGAGGTTAAGTCGAGGATAAGCCGAGGTTGCTGACAGCCGAGGATAAGCCAAGGTTAAGCCGAAGTTGCTGAGGATAAGCCGAGGACAAGCCGAGGTTGCTGAGGACAAGACGTGGATAAGCCGAGGACAAGCCGAGGACAAGCCGAGGTTGCTGAGGATAAGCCGAGGTTAAGCTGAGGACAAGACGAGGTTGTTGAGGATAAGCCGACGATGCCGAGGATAAGCCGAGGGTAAGCCGAGGTTGCCGAGGATGAGTCCAGGACAAGCCGAGGATGCCAAGGATAAGCCGAGGTAAAGCCGAAGTTGCCGAGGATAAGCCGTGGTAAAGTCGAGGACAAGCCGAGTTGCTGAGGATAAACCGAAGGGAAATCGAGGACAAGCCGAGGTTGTTGAGGAAAAGCCCAGGACAAGCCGAGGTTGCTGAGGAAAAGCCAAGGTAAAGCCGAGGACAAGCCTAAGTTGCCGAGGATAAGCCGAGGTTCAGCCGAGAATGCCGAGGATAAGCCGAGGTTGCCGAGTTGCCCAGGATAAGCCGAAGTTCAGCCGAGGTTGCTGAGGATAAGCCGAAGATGCCGAGGATAAGTCGAGGTTCAGCCGAAGATGCCAAGGATACGCCGAGGTTGCTGAGGATAAGCCGAGGTAAAGTCGAGGACAAGCCGAGGTTGCTGAGGATAAGCCGAAGTTGAGTCGAGGACAAGCCGAGGTTGTTGAGGATAAGCCAAGGATAAGCCGAGGAAAAGCCGAGGATAAGCCGAGGTTGCTGAGGATAAGCCGAGGATAAGCGGAAGTTACCGAGGATAAGCCGAGGTTATGCCGAAGTTGCCGAGGATAAGCCGAGGTTGCTGAGGATAAGCCGAGGTTAAGCCGACGATAGGCCGAGGATAAGCGGAGGTTGCCGAGGATAAGCCGAGATTAAGCCAAAGTTGCTGAGGATAAGCCGAGGTTAAGCCGACGATAGGCCGAGGATAAGCGGAGGTTGCCGAGGATAAGCCGAGATTAAGCCAAAGTTGCTGAGGATAAGCCGAGGTTAAGCTGAGGTTGCCGAGGATAAGCCGAGGAAAGTCGAGGACAAGCCGAGGTTGCTGATAAGCCGAATTGTAGTCGAGGACAAGCGGAGGGTGTTGAGGATAAGCCGAGGATAAGCCGAGGATAAGCCGAGTTGCCGAAGATAAGCCGAGGAGAATCCGCGGAGAAGCCGAGGACAAGGGGAGGTTGCCGAGGATAAGCCGAAGTTAAGCCGAAGTTCCTGAGGATAAGCCGAGGTTGCTGAGGATAAGCGGAGATTAAGTCGAGTATGCTGAGGATAAGCCGAGGTTGCTGAGGGTAAGCCTAGGATAAGCCGAGGATACGCCGAGGATACGCCGAGGATAAGCCGAGGTAAAGTCGAGGACAAGCCAAGGCTCAGTCGAGGTTAAGCCGAGGACAAGCCGAGGAAAAGCCGAGGTTGCTGAGCGTAAGTCGAGGATAAGCTGAGGATAAGCCGAGGTTCAGCCGAAGATGCCAAGGATACCATACCCCGAGGTTGCCAAGGATAAAGCCGAGGTAAAGTCGAGGGCAAGCCGAGGTTGCTGAGGATAAGCCGAAGTTGAGTCGAGGACAAGCCGAGGGTGTTGAGGATAAGCCGAGGACAAGCCGAGTTGCCGAGGAGAAGCCGAGGAGAAGCCGCGGAGAATCCGAGGACAAGCGGCGGTTGCCGAGGATAAGCCGAAGTTAAGTCGAAGTTCCTGAGGGTAAGCCGAGGTTGCTAAGGATAGGCGGAGGTTAAGCCGAGTATGCTGAGGATAAGCCGAGGTTGCTGAGGGTAAGCCTAGGATAAGTCTAGGATAAGTCGAGGTTGCTGAGGATAAGCCAAGGATAAGCCGAGGATAAGCCGAGGTTGCTGAGGATCTGAGGATAAGCCTAGGTTAAACCGACATTGCTGAGGATAAGCCGAGGTATAGTCGAGGACAAGTCAAGGTTAAGTCGAGGTTTAAGCCGAGGAAAAGCCGAGGTTGCTGTGCATAAGTCGAGGATAAGCCGAGGTTGCCGAGGGTTAAGCCGAGGTTGCCGAGGGTTAAGCCGAGGTTGCCGAGGAAAAGCCAACGACAAGCCGAGGACAACCTGAGGACAAGTCGAGGTTTCGAGGTCAAGTCGACGACAAGCCGAGGTTAAGCCGAGGTTAAGTCGAGGGCAAGTCGAGGCGACGAGGATTAGCAGAGGATAAGCCGAGGATAAGCCGAGGTTGCTGAGGATAAGCCGAGGTTGACGAGGACAAGCCGAGGACAAGCCAAGGTTGCCTTCAATTTTGACCCGAACGTCGTGCACTGGTGCTGATATCGTCCGCGGTGTGTAAATTTTACGCCGCATATCCCTCTCGTCTGTTAGGTACAATTGTATGCTATCCTGCTGTATGCTGCACGGCATCGGCATGACCCGTCTCACGGTTCCAGAAGACTACTTGTATCCCTCAAAGGTACGTGTTTACATTCTAGAAAAACTTGGAGCACGTTGTATGTGCTGCAAACGTTTGGAGCACGATGGAAGAAATGTGAGGGAGTTGTGTTGGTAGGTAAAGAGGTCGTTGCCGGCGCCAATGCGGCTTGAGCTCGTCGTGATGTCACAAAAAGGCTCGATTGTGTGGGCGTGGGTCGCATTCCTACGCCAAAGATGGTGGGGTGCACCTGACACTGCGCTGTAAGGTTTTCCAAACGTTCGTCCTTCAATCGCTCGTCGTGCACTTCCTCTGCGCGAGAATATAAGCTCGTTTCGAAAATGGGGACTAAATAACTCGATCCGAGAAGGCCCCCTTTAGACCACTAGACTGCCGCATTGGGTTCCTGCTTGTTTGGCACCAAGGACCCCCCCCCTCGAGCCAGTTATTGGTCCACCACTTGGTTGTTTGCTTCCTCGAGCAGAGTCGTGGTTTGCTTGGTCCTAAGTATATGTGGTATGTGCCACATTTTTTTAACAATGACCACAGAGAAATCAAAGTACTTCTCGTATCCATGTTCGTGTAGACAATCCGACGACCTCGAACTTCCGGTCTGACGTTTTAGCGATCCTTGAACCTTTGCATGGCGTTGAAACTGGGTTGACACGACGCACTTTTGAGGGGAAAACATCTCAAAAAATAATCCAGGGTCGTTCACGGAGTAGAACCGCTCCGCGGAGCATTTTTTAATTATTTGAAACTATCACGGAGTGGTGCGTAGCCGTCTATCCGAGGGCAAGTCTCACGGAACGGATCGTTTTTTTTTCATGGCACGGAGCATTTTTGTTTGCTCCGTAGCATAAATCGCGCGAAGTCGTGGTGTTGAGGACGATGTACCGTCAGAAGACACGCCGAAACCGCACACGGATATTATCCGTACAAATCGACGGACTACCTGCAAGTTCGTGAAATACGTTGGGTTTGGTACACCGAAAACCGATTGTTCCGCAAGGTGTGCGGTGCTTGGAGGCCGCCGGTGACACCGTACGCGTCCTCGCCGCCAGGACAACCCAAACGGACCAAAAAGCTATCAATCAATCAACCAATCGATTATCGAGGAAGGCACTGTTCCCCACATCGATATCTCCTCGAGTCATACGTTCCTGCAACACGTACGTACAACAGCAGAATATTCGACAAATATTCATTTCCTCTCGTTGAAACTATAATAGCACTTGGTAACACCAGGCGTCTCATGCATTCAACCAAATACGCCCCCTATTTCACTCAGCCAGATTCGACCTCGACAACCACTTGCTCTCCCGCACGAGCGGCTTGGACAGATGCAGAGCGTTAGCCTTCCCAACACAAAATATCGTGACTCCGTGGCAAAACAACTGTGACTCCGTAGGAAAACCGTGACTGTGTTGCCGTTTTATCCGCGGTTGTGTGACGGACGGAGTAGCTCTAACGCTCCGTGAAAAAAACGCATGTACGGATTCTTGGGAATTCCCACGGAGCGGAGCGATTTATCCGAGGGCAAAGTTCTCACGGAGCGGAGCGTTCTTTTGTTCATGTCGTAAACCGCTTCCCTCCGTGAAAAAAGAAAACGCTTCGTGAACAACCCTGAAAAAATCGACAAAAAATTCTGATTGACCCGGAATGGCCGCGGAACCCTTTCCCCGACGATTCTTCGAACAATTTCACTCTTATTGCACAAACAATAAGAGGCAATAAACCTTTATCCTCATTTTCACAATTTGTCATGAAGGAAGGCGAACCGACTGCTGTTGTCTCTCACCGTGTAGAGGATGCCTGCATTCTTGGTCGCCTGTTGAATTTTTTCCCTCGGCCCGGGGTAGTACCGGACCTTGCTGAACAGCTCATCTCGTTCTCGCTGAAAAACAAATAACGAGGTATGTAGGTTCAGTTGAATCAATCGAGTGAACCTATGTCACATGGAAAAAAGCGGTAATGATCACAACGAGCATTCGATCAAGTGTAACCATGCCACTTCGAAACACGCCAACGCGAGAGAGGCAAACGGTTGCCGCCGCCCGAAAAGCGTACAAGAACAAATGTATTATCTTCTACGCGGATGGAAGGGGGGAAAAACGTTTGGCACGAACAATACTCCAAATAGACATGGGGGGCGGGGGGCGGGGGGGGGCAGCGTACTCCCGCCGTGTCCTGCGGAAGCCTGACACACTGAGCAAACCTTTGCACTCGGCCACAACCATTCTATTTGACCGCGTCTTTTGAGTCACTACCCAAACAACCACCACCACCCCCGCCCCTATGGATAAAAAAAAAACATCCGAGTGAAAGTGTGGATACCTTCGGAATGTCGGGGAAGTCTTTGTCGCTGCTCATGCTCAGCTCCTCCGCGCTGTAAAATCCTCCTATTCGTAGCGGAAGGAACGGGTGCGCGCTGAAAAAAGATTTAAAACAGAGTTACGAGAAAAAAACACGGCGATAGGGGCACCGCAAGGGCAACGGCGGGGGTGGGGGTGGGTGGTGGGTGGGTGCATGTGAAACGGGTCAAGAGTTGGCAATGAATTCATAACATCCAAAGTCGTGAGCGCTCTTTCTAGGTAAACTGCAGCAAGCCTTACGTCAAAGCAGCGGGGGAAGACCGCTACGGGACGTTAAGCAAGCAAGCGCTCTCTTTTGACACACAGGGACATGAACGTCTTGTCGACATGATTGCAACGAAGGATGAAACGCATCGCTCGGCCAGTGTTTACTCTTTCTTCCCTGCGACCGGCTTCCGTTGCGTACCGTACCTCCCTTTTCTCCACAACGCAACGAGTGGTTGGCAATTCCGGGCACGTCATGCTGAAAGGTTTCCGAACAAACCCGTTGTCGGTGGCGGCTTGAGAAACGCTACTTGTTGGAGAAAATTATTATGTGCCCTGCATGCGCGCATCGTTTTTCTTTTCGTTTGGATTTTTCCAAGCGTAAACCTCGTACGTTAAAAACCTGCTGCAGTATGCATATGTGAACACGGAAAGCGTCCTGAGTCAGTTGAACCGGCACGGGTCCTAGAAGGTACTGAGCAGGGACCGGAATAGTTGTTAATGTGAACATTCACAATAACAACATGTGAACAACAACAACAACAACAACAACAACAACAACAACAGCAGCCAAAGCAGCAGCAGCACCAACAACAACAGCAACAATAAGAAAAGCAGCATCTCAATTGTTCAGCCTTGGAAGCTTCGCCCCCTTCCCCGTAGGCGGAGCTTTTCGCTGATCTCGCATCGAAACAACAACGAGGGAGAGCCTTCGACGTCACCAACGCACGTGGTTGGTTGTTGCCATCTACAAACACCCCCTTGCGTCTCACTTGCTGGGCAGGTCGTTCACGTCCATGCCAATAAGGGGGTCCGTGAGCTCCCTCACGTGGATCAGGGGTATGTACGCGTCGATCCCGCTCACGGAGCGGTACCCAATGTTGGACGCTGCACCTACCTGCAATCGAAAAAAAGAAGCATACAAATGTGGCCGTCGGCGGGGGGGGGGGGGGGGGTACTCATAGTCGTGCATGCCGTAGTCGTTAGACCATTGACCTCGCATCCCTACTTGTACAAAGCCGGGACGGAGCACGCCGGGTTCTCACCGGACCAGGCTCTCACATCACCAAGCGCGAAGCGCCGTGAGGTATTTGGCGAGTCGCATGAAGGGTGAGCTGCATCCTGCTAAGGGTATTCGGCATCTTGTGCTTACTTCCTTGCGTACGGATGACAGTTGCGTATGACTTAATCTTTTTTCTGGTGCTTTCACTTCCAGAGACAGTTGAAAGCACTGTGTAACTGCCTCGAGGATGCTTGACCATTTTAACACAACGTGGTGCGATCATCCCCCTTGCGCGGAGTGAGGGTTCTCCACCCCGCACAACATGATCTACTCGACCACCATTATATTTACCGCCAAAAACAAAACAGAGGTAAAAAAAAAACGGTAACCTGGTTGCCGAGTTCACGAAGTGGATTGGCTTGTTTTACAACGTCGTTGCCAAGCGACGAAAACCCAACCCCGGTAGCAAACACCGGGGGAGGGTACGGGGGGGGGGGGGGGATTTCGCAAGCTGCACGAACACGTTGCTCCACAACATCAACAGTAGTGAATGGAATTGGATGCGCGTAAAGATGCTTCACGAGGGGTACCGTTCATATCATTCTACGGCGTCGTTGTCTTCGTGGTGGTTATTATTGTCTTCACATAAAAACGTACTGAGTCAAAGGTTAACTGCACAAAGAGGGTATCACATATATGCCACCATTTCAGTCGGTTGGAAGACGGGCATACACAAGATGTGCAGCACTTGGATGCAAACAGCGGTCGGTCGTTGCACACGTGTACCAAGCGCAGCCAAACGCGGGATGACTAAACTTCCGACAACGAGAGCGGTATTGCGGCATGTGTACGAAGCATCAAGGCGGTGCATGTATAATAGTTGTCGAGGAACATTTATCCCTCGGAGTGGGAAGAGAGTCAGGTGTTCGGACTGAGCGGAGGAGGCAAGAATGACTGCAGGCTTTCCAAAAGCTACGCGCGACGCAACCCAACGGGGGGGCGTGCCGTCCAAAAGGATTGAACGCATGTAGAACAGAAATGGGTGCAATCGGGACGTGAGAGAAACGAAATACAAAGGAGAGCATACCAGCGACGAAAAAAAGCATGCCCTTACCGAATACCACGTACCGCAAGACTAAATACCAAAAAGAAGTGGTGAGATATTTGTACGCCATGGGGTCTACCCGCACAGCAGTCTACACGAACAGCGGCATTGCCAACACAGCAGCACCAGCAGCACCAGCCAGAGGCACCAGTGGCACAGCAGCGAGCGAATGATAACACAACTCACCGCCTCGTGCTTCGTCACCACGAGCTTGGTGGCGTAGTGCCGGATGTAGAGCAGCGCAACCAAGCCACCCCCCACGGCAAACACCAGGATTCCGAGAATCTGCGAAAACGGAACAGCCGATGGGCGCACGAGGCATAGGCGGGCACTTTGAAGGCAGCCGATGGCGGCAACCGACGCTTCACGCCGACTGAATCGACGCGAAACGGAACAGCCGATGGGCGCAAGAGGCATAGGCGGGCACTTTGAAGGCAGCTGACGGCGGCAACCGACGCTTCACGCCGACTGAAAATCGACGCGTGAACGACGACGATTCTCTAGGACAAGACCAGCAAGTATGGAACATCTTGGACAGTTAAGGGTGGAGCATTGCGGGCAATCAAGGGTGGAGCATCTTGGATAATCGAGGGTGAAGCACTTTGGACACTCGACGGTGGCAGGTCTTGGACGACGGTCGAAGATTTTGGATCATCGAGGGGTGGACCATTTAGGACAATCAAAATGACGGAACATCTAGGGTAGAAACATTGCGGAACGACCAACCTGGCTCTGCAAAACACTCAAGGTAACACCCCGGCACCAGCAACGACGGGGGCCTGATTGGCTCTAAAACAACGACTCGAAGGAGGTTAACCGGCAAGAGGGGCATCAAAAACCGAACCCAACAAACCAAGACGGCCCGGAGTCGCAACAATCGGCGGAGACAGCGGTCAAGAAACCAAGAGTATCGAATACCGCAGCGTGACGTGTCCATGCCCCTAAATTTCGACCATGCACGACAACAGGCCATGCGTGGCGGCAGCGGACACAGCGGGCAAGGAAACCAAGTCATCGCGAAGCATGTGACTTCGTTGTGCCGCCAAATTTCGACCATATACGGCAAGACGACATGCGTGGCAGCTGCGGGAGCGGGAGCGGAGCGTACAGCGTGTGACTTGTCCATGCCGCCGATTTCGACGGTGTACGACAACAGGCCATGCGCGGCGGATGCAGCGGCAACGGCAGCGCAGGTGTACTCGCCTCGTAAATGGCGACGATCTCGCTCTGGTCGGCGGTGAAGTCGGCGTCGCCTTCGTCGCAGAAGAACGGGCCGCAGTCCGGCAGACCCTCCTCTACCTTGCTAGGCCACCTGCGGGGAGCAGCGCACCGCGCGCCAACAAAACAGCAATGGAAAGGACACAGACGGCGAGGCGAAAGCAGAGGCCAAGATTTAACACAAGTGGGACCGGAACGGAACGGAATGGAATGGAACGGAATGGAATGAAATGGAATGGAACGGAACGGAACGAAACCGAACGGAGTGAAACGGAACGGAACGACTATGAACGAGCCGCAAAAAACAGCAAGTTGCGCGACGACAAACGTAATGTGAGTGCCATCACTCCCGCCCGATCGGTCCCTTTGTGCATACAGATTCGTGCCTGAATTTGGGTAAGAGCTTGTGACGGCGGGAGTTTGTTTCTGACTCGCCATTGAGGTTACGGAGTACAGGGGGTACGACTTCAAACAGTGGAGAACAGTTTCTCACGTCAAGGCATCACCAGCACGCTGAGTGGACGAGACTCTGCTGTAATCCGACTCCAAGCCTAAGGCAACAACAACACAAATGTTGCACGAACATATACATCGTTGTAAAATGTAACCACCACTTCCTGTCTTTTTGGAGCGGTTTACAGCAGCGATATGATAGGCTGACTCGATAGGTCGTGACTCACTTTGCGAAGAAAATCCTCGCCATGACGAGGTGCAGCCAGATGCACAGGACAACGTACTTGCGGCTGTAGCTCGATAACCGCGCATCGTAAGCCTGCCGGGCAAACGCGGGGGTGGGGGTGGGGGTGTAGTCATAGTCGTGCATGCCGTAGTCGTTAGACCATTGACCTCGCATCCCTACAAAGCCGGGACGGAGCACGCCCGGTTCTCACCGGACCGGGCTCCCACATCACCAAACGCGAAGCGCCGTGAGGTATTCGGCGAGTCGCATGGAGGGTGCGCTGCATCCTGCTAAGGGTGTTCGGCATCTTGTGCTTACTTCCTTGCATACGGAGGACAATTGCAAATGAATTAATTTATTTTCTGGTGCTTTCGCTTCCAGAGACAGCAGTTATGAGCACTGTGTAACTACCTCAAAGGCGTTTGACCAATTGAACACAACGTAGTGCGATAATCCCCTTCGCGCGGAGTGACGGTTCTCGACCCTCCACAACATGATCTATTCGACCGCCATCATGGATACCGCAAGAAAAGAAAGAGAGGAAAAAGAAAACCGGTAACCGGGTTGTCAAGCTCACGAAGCGATCGGCGTGTTTGCCAATGTTATTGCCAAGCGACGAAAACCTAACCCCGATGGCTCTCGGAGGGGGGGCGGCAAACAGTATTAGAACGGAAGCAACTAACACTAACAGCAACAGATGCGATAGGACCGGATGCGCCGTCTTCCACACAGCAGCCACTAGACGCCATGGACGCCGAAAAATTGAGATAAAGCAATGCACCGCCAAAATCAAATAACGGCATAGGCAGCAGCAAAAAACAACCGTAGTACAGCAGTACCCGTACACCCCCCCGACCCTTTGATCAATTTCACGGATGGCATCGTGCAGAGGTCAGACTTCTGCGTCGGAAACGCCGACAAAAAAAAAGTGTTCCCGAAGACGCACGCCCTTCGGCGCTGCCGGAGCATCCCCCCCGCCAACCCAATCGTTAAAACACACGTGGAGCGTGGCGTAGATCCGGTCAAGAAAGAGAGAGGTGTTGTTGATTTACCATGGCCGTTGTTGTTTTACCGTACCGTCACTCTTTTGGCGGGATTTTTCGCAACACTCACCGGCGGTCTCCTCCACAGCCTGAGCAGGGAGTACTTGTCGACCCAGTAGAGCATCATCATGGCCACGGCCGTCACGATGAGCCCCGTGGGCACGATGGCCGAGTAGAAGAGGCCGACGAAAACCGTCTTGATCTGCCTCCCCCGCCGGCGTGGTTGTTCAAGCATTCGGCCGTTAGTTTTTCCCACAGGAGGTTCGGCGACGCAGCACAAGACAAAAAGCATAAGCCGTTTGTATCCATTAAGTTTGTTGGTGCAATGTACTGCTGTAGACGACTGGCTCCATATTGTAGCACGCAGCAAGCCGTTGGAGTTATCGTGTGCGTGATCTATTCACGGCCTGCGCCGTACTCTATTCACGGCCTGTGCCGTCGCAACATCAATACATGATCGTCATAAACATAAGCACCACAAGCACACCGTCCGGGCAAAACCCACCGAATGCCGTTTTCCGCAGATTGTTTGGTAGAAAATATACATACACAATCACAGAAAGGCTACTACCCCAGACAAAATAACCGCAGCAGTCCAACAGTGAGCTTCCTCTTCCTACAGAGGTACGGGTACGCAACTGACCATGTCCGTGTATCTCTCCGCCAGATTCCACGGAGCCCCCTGGAAGAACACGTTCATCTCTGCCTGCGTCTTGGCCTTCGGGGCGATGACCTTCCGACCGAACAGGTCCGGCAGGTTGGTCAGCCTCAGGAGGGGCCCGGTGAAGGCGTCCGCGATCAGAATCGAGAGGATCTGATGCCACACCACCGTTCGGCCGACCACACGAGATAAACGAACAAATGAACAAAATTTGTGTCGTCAAGACCAGCAAAGGCACGGGGCGGGGGGTTAGGCGGGGTGATTAGACAACAGGGTATTCAGAGTGCTCACCGTAGATGCCGGTTGCTCTCATGCCGGTTCCGGCGGTGGAATGCTTCATCCGAATACGTACCATACTGCAGGGTTCTTGGTTGTAGCAGTACCATTTTTCGGGCGCAATGCCGTGTCTGTAGTTACTTATTAGTACCGTTTCGGGTGTCACGCGTGCGTACCTTGGTTAGCGTGTCGGATTCCAGCTGCTCCTCGTCCGACGTGATGATGAACAGCAGGAAGGCCGAGTTGATGGCGCGGGCGGTGACGAGCTTGAACATCATGGACGCCTGCATCTGCGTTAGGCTCTTGTGTTGCTCTGCCGGGACGCGAGACGGAAGGACAAACGATCGATCAACAGGAGGGGCCTGCCATATACCATATATATACCAACAAGCCAAGAAATGAAAAAAAGAGGAGAGACCTTTTCAACGCAGCTGATCAGCATGAGCAGTAACAACAACGAGGCCTGCCACTTTAGCAAAGCAGCTACGAAAATAATGGACACCTCTTCAACGCAGCTACTGTACACTAAAACATGAGCACGAAAGGCGGCATCTCTTCTCCCCCGCGTCAGTATTTTTGACCATACCGCGAAAAGGTTGAGATAGACAAATCGACGACAACAAGGGGCGCCACAAAGGCGATAATCAATCCCCTTCGACTGTGGTTATATCCCGAACGGGTAGCCTCCCCTTGGTTGTATGAGGTATATTTCCTAGTTGGTGAGGGTGAGAATCCTGATTACGAGGGAGCAGGGCGTTGGCGCGTCAGTCACTTGATCGTACCGCAATAAGGCCGAGATAGACAGATCAACGGACCGACCTATGGTGAGCGTGAGGACCCTGATGACGAGGGGGAGCAGGGCATTGACGAGAGCGACGAATATGGCGGCGATGAAGCCAGCCTCGAAGATAGCCCTGAGGATGAAGAAGCTCCCCGCCAGGAAAGCGCCCGAGAGGAACCCGGACAGGGCGAAAGTCGCCGCCCTGCAAAAAAAACACGCCAGCACCGGTGCCACCACAACAACAGCAGTTCGGCAGGGACGGCAAACAACACCGTCAGAAAATCGTTCGCGCAAGACCCCTGAAAAAGAGATCGCAGCATCGCCCACGTAGCAGCAGCGGCGGCAAGAGCAGCGCTCGGGTTCCCGCGTTGCAACTGTGCGGCTCTTTGCTCGCAGGAAGCTGTGGCTCGCAGCGAAAATTTTATCACTCGTTGTGTCCTTCTAGCTCTCCGGCTCGGTAGCACTTGCACGTGTACAGCTCGTTTCTCTCTAGCAGAAGCCGGCTCGTTTGCTACTACTAGGTGCCGTTCCAACGCCAATTCTAGAGCAGGGTACGGCAGCAGCTCTCGCCGGCCGTTGTGGCTCGCTCGTTGGCGTCTCAGGGTTATGCCGGGAGTGGTAGCGGTTGACTGGCAGCAATTAACTCAGGAATCGGAGTTAGACACTTGCCTCACATAAATGAATGCGCAAAGTCATTGACACCCACGGGCGCAGCTACGCTGATACCGCTCACAACGTAAAATGCTGCCGGAGTACTGAACCAAGCTAATTTTCGACGCCTTAGGGATCGAAAAGTGTCGCCGGCAGAACAAATGTGGCCGACAAAACACAGCAGTGGTATAGAGCAACACCTACTGTAGATACCATCCGAGGAGAGTCTTCCGGGGTACGGAGGCGTCAATATTCCTCTACCAGCCAATGAGTGTAGCGCACCCTTCACACCATTGACACAGAAGGCGTACAGAGGTATCAGTGTTGACGCTGAAAGCCGTAGCAAGTCTTCAGGAACACAGACAGCGGCAAGGACGACTGCCTCAGACACACTACGAGGGGGTTCTGTGACTATATCACCTCGGAATATGGAGGTAGACTACCAGCGGAGTCTGTGACTACATCACTTGAGAATATGGAGGTAGACGTGCTTCTACACCAACAAAAACTCCGCTTCTGTGGTTTAAGATGCATCTCCTGTGCGGCCTTCCTCCTGTATGACCGAAAGGTGCAAAAACTAACGCCCAGAAGAATGGGATGACAAAAAAAAAATGTGTAAACCGTTCACCTGTCGAATTGGCCGCGCGCGCGGGCCACACATGAGGCGCACGAAATCACACAACGCACACCGGCGGGCACAGAGCATACCTTTGCACAATGGAGGCATCAATGTTTTCCCACAGCACGTCCGACGGCTCTTCGGCTTCGTCTATCCGGCACACGGAACCGCCAATGACGGCCTCCTGGTTAACTTCTTTCCCCGTCAGCTTGGCCACGTATTCCTCCCACAGACCTTGTTTTCGTGAGAGCACACAAGATAGGGGAAAGGCAAAGGTGGCCCGCAGTTTTCTCATACGTCAACCCAAAACCTTGTGGCGAAGTATAATTTTCAAGAAGATGACCCAAGATCCTTTCAGAGATTATCCCAATATCTTGCATGACGGGTGGGTGTTGTGCACGGCCGATCGGTCAGGCATAATCTTGGGCATGGCATGCATGTCGTCACTTGAAGGCTTTGCCGAAGATGCGACCTTCGCGTGATCACGATCATCATCGTCCTCTTGTTGACTGTGTTTAGAAAAGAACACGATGATGAGTATTGCGAAAATGATGAAACGCAGCAGTGTTGCGCCCGCTCTCTCCCGCCCGCCTGTTGCACGACACCGTTGACGACGAAGCTAAAAACCTCGCTAGAAACTCACCTGTTGTTCGCGACATTCTCGGTCGACGAGCAACAGAGACAGCCACACGCTCTACAAGAAGCCTTGCGCGTGAGACAAGAAGATACAAAGAATCGGGATTCTGACACAGGTTCGAACAAGTGCTTGTCCCTCCAGAAACGATTCCTACGGGCTTCCATCACATCATCCAGCCTTACTGAGAGCCGGGCTCGCGAGAGGGCGAAAACGTCGCTTCCTCCCTCGAGGGGAACAGCAGGAACGAACCGTCTTCTATTCCCCCGCCGTCGCCGTCCCGAGCCAGTTCTTTCGCACTACCCGGTCAGAAGCGTGCTAACCCTTCCGTTCACTTAAGACCATGCCCCGCCCTGCGTGGCCTTCCGCAATAAAAACAAACCCACCAGAAGCGTCTCAACCCTTCCTTACCCTTACGACCACGCCCCTGCATCGCTTGACCCCACCACACGGGTGTCACCCCTTCCTCACCCTGCCGCAAAAAAAAAAACAACCCGCTACTAGAAGCGTGTTATATCGCTTGCTTACCCTCAAGACCATGCCCCGCCCTGCCTAGTCTTCCGCAGAAAAAACAAACCCACCAGAAGCGTCTTAACCCTTCCTTACCCTTCAGACCGTGCCCCACCCTGCCGCGACTAAACACCCAATTTGTACCTGTCTCCACGGCCTTCAGGCACTTCCTCTGCGCCTGCTCGGTCTGGTAGGTGATGTACACCCGCTTCGGGTCGTAGTGCCGCTGGGTCAGGCCGCGCAGCCTCTCACTCGTCTCTTTCAGGGCCCTCTCGAGGTAGTCCTTCGTGGGGAACAGCCCCAGCTTGCCCTGCAGCCATGCCTGCCACGCCTTGAGGTCGGCCGTGGTCCGGTTCGCCTTCCAAAGGGGTTTTGAGAGGGGTTGTTTGTTGGCGGGTTCGGGGATCGGTTCGGGGATCGGATCGGATCGGGGAATTGGTTCGGAACCACGGATTCAGGGTTATGGTTTATGGTAAGGGCTCGGGTTAGCTCAACCACTCCTCTGCAACGTCTTGAGGTCGGCCGTGGTCCGATTCGCCTTCCAAGGGTTAAGCGGTTGTGCGTTAGAGGGTTCGGGGAAATATTCGGGAATCTGTTTCGGCTTCGGGAATTGGATTGGGTTCGGGAAAACCAATTCGGTTGTGGTATTGCGCTGCTCCCATGCCACGTGTTCGGGGTTGTTATCCCGATCCGGTAGTGGGCGTACGGTTGTGGCAAAACATTCCGATGTTTCCATGCACTACTGTTGAACCAGGGGTGACACGTGTTCACGGTTTTTATCCGGATCCGGTAGAGGGCTTACGATTGTGGCAAAACATGCCGTCATGCACTAACTGCTGGTTCAGGTAACTGCTGTTGGTCCAGGGGTAAATGTTGGTTCACTATTGGTTCAGGGGCGACAATGTTCACCGTTTGTCCCGGATCCGGTAGTGGCTCTCTCGCACTGCTGTACGCAAAGCACGTCAGAGTCGCCGTTCGTTCTACATACGTGACCCCGTCCCGCACCGAGACGTTTTTGGCCTCTCTCAAGGCTACGGCTACACCGACAACGGGCCACGGTGATGGCAAACGGAGTTAAGAGGTTGCTGCCTGTGTGAAGAAGATCGCCGTCCGTTTAAGGGGGTGCAGAAAAGGGGTTGTGACACTGGCTCTTTTTCCCATACTTTATTCCTATACAAAGAAAGTAAACAACCTTCTCGCCAGGGTTAGGTGTCGCATTCTATTTGTCATCAGGAGAGGACACCATGAAGAGGCGTCGTGCGTGCTGGTACATCCAGGTTTGCTACTGGAGCTGAAATATCCAACGTCGCAGCAGTCTCTGAAAACAGTCCGAAACCTGAGCCAGAATCAAGCGGCATCCAACATTTGTCACAGCCGTGCTCGCTGCCACTGACCCCAATCTCCTGAACTGCGGGTTTACAGCAGTAGCTGGTACACTAGCCACTGCTGACAACCTCCGTTTAGGGGTTTACGGTCCGTGGCGGTGAGCACGGCTGTGACAAATGTTGGATGCCGCTTGGTTCCGGCGTAGATTTCGGACTGTTTTCAGAGGCTGCTGCGACCTTCGATATTTCAGCTCCAGTGGCAAACCTGAACTAGCCAGCAGGCACGACGCTTCTTCATGATGTCCTGTACTGATGACAATAGAATGCGACACCTAACACCCAAAATTGACCTTGTTTGAGCGCCTTCCGATTTGGCTCTATTGACTAGAATTTAGAATAGTGTGGATTCTATATTGATTTCAAAGGAGGCGTGTGGAGGTAGGCGCGTGAAATGTATGTTTTGAGCAGCCTCTACTGCCGCCCTGTGCGAGAGTCAACGATTCTGTTTTTCGCGGTGTCTTCCTACCGGTCTGCTGTGTCTGTTGTGCAATTTCTGGTGCTCTTGCATTTGTTTTCAAAATTAGTCAACATCAAAATTCGTCTTCTGCCCCCCCGTAATCGTTCGGCGAAGAGAAAAAACAGTTATGTTGTGCCAGGTTGTGCGCAAACAGCCACACAAAAACCTCACACTCTCACCATTCTCACGCCGGCCACGTTTTCTTCCCTCTCCGCGAGCTCCGCCTGGGCGTTCAGCGCGTGCATCTTGTGCTCCAACACGCGTTTCTTCGCGACCGTCTGCCATCCCATGATGCCATGTCGTTCGCGGGTATACATGTAAGGACAGGATAGCACAACATGCCCACAAGCCAGCGCGGCGTCGTCGTCGTTGTTGTTGTTGATGTTGGTGGGTGGTAGTGTACCAGCGCTGACCAAACCTCGACCACCATCGTAGATATGCTAGGCTCACAATCAACCCCATCGCCAGGCGAGGTAACGTGCGCACGGGCAGCATCAAGTACGTCCTCTTCTACATGGGTGTGCGTGAACACGTCACAGAACCTGTGTTCCGACATCCAAACGCCGCACGAAAGGGCGTGCGCTGGTGCACAAAGAAGCCCACGATAGCACAGCCTAAACTCAAGCGCAAAACTGGTAAATTGGCCCTGCCCACAGAAAAGCATACGGAGTAGTTCGCCCCCACGACGTCGTTCATGTATCATGAGCAACGCGTCCATGGCTCACTCGCCGAAAATGGACCTCGCCCGGCCCCAAACACAGACTTCATTTATGTATCACGAGCAACTCGTTGGTTATTCACCACGCGCAATTCGTTGCTTTTACAGAACACAACTCGCCCCCAAACACAGTCGATCTCTCACTCACCTTCAAGAGAGTTCCGTTCCTTAGGCAAATGGTGATGAACGCGATCTCCCCGTGGACTCGAAATTTTTCGTAGTAGGTGTCGGGGTCCGACAGGCCGGGGGCTCTCGGCGGACTGTGGATGCATACCTGTTTTTCGCGTTTGTAGTGTACCAAACAAATTGCGTGTTTGCCACGGAGCATTGTAAATATACTACGGGTGGATGCATCCCTGTTTTGCGTTTGTGAGGTACAAAAAAAGTGTGTGTTTGCCACCCAACATCGTCAATAGACAATGAGTGGATCATACCTGTATTGCGTTCTTGGGTACAAAAACAGTAGTGTCGTCCTACTAAGGGGGATGAGTTGATGCCTGGGAGACGCGTCAACAGACTGGAGACAACAAGAACAGGCCAACGAACCGCAGCGAACGGAAAAGGCACTCCGAAACGATGCAACAAGGAAAAAAAAGTTTGAACAACAAGAGAGCCTACCGAATAATCCTGGGGCGTCTGCTGCGCGGTGTCGATGCTCTCCACCGCCACACTCTCCGCCTTTCGCGACGCCATGGCGAACAACACCAGCATGAGGGTCACGATCAGGTCGGGGACGCCATTCCGGTACAACGACAAGTCGTCCCTGTGTCGCCGTTGCCGTAAAACAAATCACCGAGCGCGACGGAAGAAAAAACAGTGCGCGAGCACGGTACAGTATGTAGTTCGTTCAAAGAGGGCAGGCTCGGAAAGGGTCGTGCTGCCTTGCAGACATACCTTTGGGTGACAGTCATTCTCCTGTCTGTTGGCTTGCTGATGTACCGCGTTGGACGCGCGCTGTGCGATTCTTTTGCGCTTGCACAAACACCGCGATGCTGGAGGTGCGACAAATCACGCCCGCCAAGCCATGGAGGAACGAGGGTGGTGGGCTTTTGTTTGCCTATCCCCTCCATGGGGGCCTACAGTCTACGCTTTGATTGATTTGCAGCGTGTGACGAGCCGATGCATTGCTCTCTATTAATTACCGCGTTTTTCCGGAGTTCGATTGCGTCGCGTGAACTCCCGTATTATTTAGTTTGAACCGTCCATTTTTGTTTGAGGGCAGCCGTGGTATGTGGTGCGCTGACGCGTGTAGTGGTGTGACCTGAATCGTACCAATCTTCACGGTTCTTGCTACGATCGGATTCGCTGCAGAAACTATTTCCCGCTGGCCCTGTCATCCGCTCTGTGATTCTCAGTAGCCATCGCTCATGCCTTGTGGAGGGTGTAATTCGGAGTACTTTGTATCAGGGATGGCAATTTCTTTGGTGCCGTGGCATAGAAAGTCGCATCTTCGATCTCGTGTGCTTCGTCCTAA